ATCGACGCGCTCAGCGGGCCACGGTAAAATTATCAAAGGCTGACTGGTCCGCGGCGATAAAAAGGTTGGGGACCACTGGATTAAAGGACAGGGAAATTATCTTCTTTCAGGTCATTGTTGAACAATTGGTGTGAAGTCCAACAGCTCATAGTTTTGTTCCGTTGGAATCAGAATAGCCAATGCTTCTTTTTGTTCTTACTAACATGAATTCACTCTCTCCAAGGATCTTGCTTATAAAGGCTGCCACTGGCATGAAACGTGCTTCAAGTGTGCCCAATGCCATCACTCCCTGGTTGAGAAGCCTTTTGCAGCTAAAGATGAGCGCCTGCTGTGTACAACTTGCTATTCTAATGAATATTCATCTAAGTGCTTTCACTGCAAGAGGACTATCATGCCTGGTAAGATAATAAGGAGCTGGAGACGGGCATTCCTTAATGGGGATAAATAAATGAAAAGGGTAGGATGACACTTGACCCTGGAGACATTGATTCATGGAAATTGGTAAGGGGGAAAATCTGATGGGGGAAGGTTTTTTACAAGGCAAATGCTTCATTGTATGTGTCCTGCATAGACCATATGCTGCTGTAGAAATCAGCTATTTCTTTTCCATCCCCTGACCTATTAATAATTCTTCGTCTTTCAAGCATTTGGAATGAGTAAGTATAATGGAAAATGACTACCAGTGTCTCTGTAAAATGTGTCACTGCTGATATAGTCTTCACAACATCAGAATCATAGAGTTTTGTAGTACCTTCTTATAGAACTGTAATTAAATTTATTCTTCATGCATGTAAATGCTCCCCACTCTTCCTTTCCATTGATAGCACTGTTTCTTTCTCGCAGTGCTCTCTCACATTCTTAAGCATGTGTGTATGTATGTATGTACACATGTACATATATACATACATTCACACACTAACTACATTTTAGAGTTGAGTTGTCCAATTGTTGCCACTGAAATATACCAAATAGAAGTGGCTGATACCAGAATGCCATGGGATGTCCCTTCCTTTAAAAAAAACTCTGGGAGACTAAACACTGCTTGCTGAAATCTTGGTGGGTGGGTGTGTGCACACATGCGCACGCACCGGTGTGTGTGTATTTAATCCAAATGGTTATGATCCATTCTTTCTGTCCATAAAGAAAAGGCTACTTTGCTCACTTTGACTTTATTTCAAACAATTCCCAAAGAATCGGAGATAAGAACCCAGTAATTATAAAATATTTCCCATCCTATAACAGCCCTTCTCAAAAACTTGCTGGTCAAGAATAGTCTTCAGTGGAAACCTGTGGTTACTAAGAGAGGAGAGGCAAATGAATTTTCAGCTTGATGAAATCCTGTTTTTTGATATTTATAATTGTATTTCCTATTTGTGCTTTTCTCATTGAGATATTTCTGTAGGCTCACAGTTTCACTTAGCACAGCACCTGCAAACTTATCTTCAATAACAACACTCTAAATCTATTCACCATTGTTCTTTGGCTGAATTTTGTTATTTGCTTTATCACTTCCATGCTTCAATTAAGCAGTTTCAGCCATCCATCAGGTCAGTGATAAGCACATTATTAACTTTTCTTATGTTGATTTAGGTTAGGAATACTTAGGAATCCTTGATATATAAACACAGAGGCAGATCTCAGTTCCTAGCATTTCCGCAACAGTTCTTCCTCTCATTAAATGAATAAAATTAAGAAACTCATGGAAATGTGTATTGCCACAAGTACATGTTAGTAAACCAAAAGGTAATACAGTACTGAAGCTAAAATGAAGTCATTCTGTACTGACTCAATTTGTGATGCTTGTGTCTAAAAAGGTACTTAATTCACTCACTAATTAGGAACACATTGATTTCACTATGCTTATATTCAAATAATTCTATGTATAAAAAAACTATTCTAATTGTCTTTCTCTAATTGTCTTCCTCTGCTTTGCAAAGTCTCCCTCACATAGCAATTTCAAACAATGATTTTGCGATTCCTTGAGGCAATGATGCTGTAAAGTTCCAATTATCTGATGGTAAAATATATATTTAAAATACTACTTATTCTATTATTATGACATTACTCACTGGTGCACGGCCCTAGCTCACAGTATTAATAGATCCAATCCTATGGACTCTTCAAATTATCATTAATTTGGAAGTTTTAATTGCCAGCATGGACATTTCAATTGTCGTTACTGTATTTTTGTTTTGCTATAGATTTCTTGTTAGCTGCCATGATTCTGTTTTAGCAGCATATAAATCTCAGCATTAATTTCACCACACAATTGTATAGACAGAAAGACAGACACATGAGAGAGAGAGAGAGAGAGAGAGAGAGAGAGAGAGAGAGAGAGAATGGAGAGAGAGAGAGAGAATGGAGAGACAGACAGACAGACAGCTAGATGAGAGAGATAGGAGATGATAGATAGATAGATAGATAGATAGATAGATAGATAGATAGATAGATAGATAGATAGATAGATAGATA